TCTTGGGGCAGTTCTGTCACAAGGTGGAAAACCAATCACCATGATATCAAGAACATTAAAGGATAGAGAGCTTATCTTTGCAACAAATGAGAGGGAACTACTTGCAATAGTTTGGGCTTTAAAAAACCTCCGAAATTATCTATATGGGGTAAAAAATTTAAATATCTTTACGGACCATCAGCCTCTGACGTTTGCAGTATCCGACCGAAACCCGAACGCAAAAATCAGGCGTTGGAAAGCTTTTATAGATGAATATAACGCAAACATCTATTACAAGCCAGGGAAGGAGAACTACGTTGCGGACGCACTGTCACGGCATAATATTCATGCCCTAGAGGACGATGTACAGTCAGACAGAGCCACAATTCACAGCGAAATATCGCTCACATACACCATAGACACAACAGACAAACCAATCAACTGTTTCCAAAACCAAATTATAATAGAAGAAAATAATATAGCCTCTGATCGTACAGTTATCCTATTTGGTAAGAAAATCCGACATACAATTCATTTCTCAAACAGAGACTCGTTAATCAAAAGAGTTTGCGATGTAGTCAAAAAAGATGTCGTAAATGCAATCCATTGCGAGTTACCAATATTAGCATTCATACAACATAAACTAATAGAAACTTTTCCAACAACAACATTTCGATACACAAAGTACATAGTAAATGACATTTTTGATAAAAACGAACAGAAAGAAATAATTGCAACAGAACACAATCGGGCTCACAGAGCAGCCCAAGAAAATGTGAAGCAGATTTTACAAGACTATTTTTTCCGAAAATGACAAAATTAACGAACGAAGTTGTTTCAAATTGTAAAATTTGTAAAACAGCTAAGTACAATCGTCACCCACAAAAACAAATACTTGGAGAAACACCCATACCTTCCTATGTGGGCGAAATACTACACATAGACATATACTCAACCAATAAAAAATACTTCCTTACGTGCATAGATAAATTTTCAAAATTTGCAATTGTTCAACCCATCGCTTCAAGGACAATAATTGACATACAATCAGCAATTTTACAACTTGTAAATTTTTACCGGCATACCAAGACGATCTATTGCGATAACGAGCCCTCCATAAAGTCCGAAACAATAAAATCTCTGCTAAACAATCAATATAACATTCAAATCGTAAATGCCCCACCACTCCATAGTACATCAAACGGACAAGTCGAGAGATTCCATAGCACCCTCGGTGACATTGCAAGATGCCTAACAGCTCAAAGGAAAATTACTGACACTGTTGAAACGATACTTCAAGCAACTATCGAATATAACAATACAATTCACTCAGTAACGGACAAACGACCAATCGATATAATCCACTCATCCTCCCCAGAACTCGAAATAGAGATAGGAAATAAAATTCAAAAGGCACAACAACTCCTAACAAATAGAGTAAACGAAACAAGACACAATAGACAATTCCAAATAGGCGACACAGTTTTGGAAAAAACAAACAGACGCTTAGGGAACAAACTGACACCACTATACAACGAAGGCAAAATTGACGCAGACTTGGGGACAACAGTCTTAATAAAAGGGAGGGTGGTCCACAAGGACAATCTAAGATAGGCAAAACATTAAATTCCCTTTTTTTATCTTTTTAGGATTTGGACTATACTTCTTTTGCTACAACGATAACAGCGAAATTGACTGACTATACTAACATGGACTACATACCGATCTTGGACGGATACGTAACCATTTGGACGGATTTCCAATACTTGAAGCACTCAACCAACCTTACCCTATACTCAGAAATAGTAAAAAATACGAAAGAATTAGCAAACCATTTCCCCCGATCACATATGAGAATGTTATTAGACGCAGACATACAACATATAGAAACATTAATAGCTACAGTAAATGTCCACCATAGACATGCTAGGAGTATCAATATGCTAGGCACCGTTCTAAAGGTCGTAGCTGGCACGCCAGACCATGATGATTTCGAGAAACTAAAATTTACACAGAATGAACTTGTAGAGTCAGAAAATAGGCAGATAACCATAAACACAAAAATGCAGGAACAAATTAATAAGCTAACTGACACCGTAAACCTCCTAGTAAAAAACACAAAAAGTAAAACAAGTAGACACAGAGCATTTATATGAAACGCTGCTAACAAGAAATAGAATAATTATCTCAGAGTTAAAAACCTTAATACTATCAGTAACACTTGCAAAGGTTGGAATTGTAAACCCCTCCATTTTGGATTCCACTGATTTAAAAAACATTGTTAATGAACACTCTATAAATATCACTATTACTGACTTAATGGAAGTATCTCAAATTAAAGTTTTGTTAAGCGAAAATTTTCTACATTTCATTATAAGATATCCTAAGCCTAGCATAGTATGTAAAAAATTAACCGTATACCCTGTCCAACACAACGGCATCATAATAAATTTCGCCGAAGACTACAATTTAGCTGACTGTGGAAATCATGTAATATCAATAGGAAATTGTAGTACAGCCCTCACAATAACGTTCTGCAAGAAGTCACCCTACACAACATGCGCTCAACAGCTACACTCAGGTGACACCGCACATTGTTCAACTCGGCCCAGCCACCTCGAACCTCTAACCATAGTCGACGATGGAGTAATCATCATCAACGACGGAGCAGCTACAGTCAACGAGCAGATGGTAAAAGGGACGTTCCTCCTTACCTTTGACGACAAGATAAAGGTAAACAACACCGTATACCAAAACCAAAAAAACTACGTGAGGAAATCCCCGGGACCAGCGGTATCTGCGCTCTTAAATATAACAGACCACCAAGAGATACCAAGCCTGCCATACCTGCAGAAGATAAGCATAAAAAATCTGCGGGATATTGCTCAACTAGAGGAAGGGCTAGTAAGAAGGCCAATAGTATCTGGGCTAACCGTGGCCATCCTTTTACTCTCCTGCTACGCTTCGATGAAACTCTATCAAAGACATCAGAGGAACAAACGTCAACGTGATCTTCAAACATTAATTAACAGTTTCAAGAAAGCCGAGGACGTCATTCATCTAAGTGGGGGAGGAGTTAACACAATCGACCAGCAAAACATAAATGTTCAGATTGATCACGCGCCGTCAGCATGAATGTAGCCGTTCCCAGCGGATATTGCACAACAGCAGCAGTGGCTCCAACGCGCAACAATGTTGTTGCCCGAAGTAATGCGATGCCTCGCGTAAATATGCAATGTCAGCATAATCAGGGTTTAGGGCTAGCTTTGGATATAAGAATTTATGTCACTGTACTTTAGTTGATTTTTGATAATAAAGAACGTCGGTCGTCGCCACGGGATTATTGAAGTCTACTCATTTTGTGCAACACCGCACACTAACATCTAACAACTACAGCAAAAAAGCTTAATTTATACAATTACAGTTTAGCTGCTTTCGCAATTATATCAAGCCTAAACTTGTGCATTGACATTTAATGCACACGCAACTTTCTTATTGGTTTCTAATTGCTGCACAAATTGCATTAAAACGGCGTGAATTAGTTTCTAATTATTTATGGCAAATGGTATGTCCCGTGCTGTCCCGTTCCGTCCCGTTTCGTTTCGTTTCGTTTCGTTCCGCACACCATGCTCGCGCTCTCTTTGGTAAGTGGCACTCTGGCTGGCGTATAAATTTGTTTTCTTCTTTTTTTTTTGTGCTGACCTAATTATACGCTCATTTGGATTCACTTGATTTTCTCTGCTCACACACACACAAACACACACACTCATACGTTTCGTCACTGCGTCGACAAGTGGAGCAGCAGCAGCAGCAGCAGCATTTTGCGGTGGCGTCGGCGGCCCATTGGGGCAGGCGGCGACCGCAATTCTTAATTTTTTTGTTTTTTTTTTTTTTTTCATTTTTTATTTCTTGTGGTGGTTACTGGGACGTACATTATTGGGCTTCCGAAAGATATGTGTTTGGTACTCACACGCTTTAGACGCCTATTCGCGCACTCTATTTATGGGTTGTATCACTTTTCGTTCTAGTTAGTTGCCAATTGCATTTGTTTATGCGTTTTGTTTCGTTTCTTTTTGTTTTTGTTGTTGTTGTTATTGTTTATCCTTCTTTTTTTCGCGAAACACCTGCGCAACGCCTCCCTCGAAAATTCACTGCGCGCGTATTCTATTCGATCAGTTCGCTCTCTCGTTCGATTTCGATGCCGATTTTCGATGCCGTTTGCCGCTGCCGTTGCCTATTCCGCTTATTGGCGCTGGCGTCGACGACGCGCACGAACGAACTGAAACCCAAGCAAACTGCAATAGCTGGTGGAAGTACAAAATTTGTTTGTGTGTGTGCGAGTGTGTGTGTGTGTGTGTGTGTGTGTGTGTGACAGAGACGCGTCGGTCAGACCGACAGACAGAGCGAACGTCTCTTGCTGCTGCTGCTGCCTGTCTGACTGGCAGTCTCAGTTTCTGTTTTGTTTTGGGACGGAAATGCCAGTGGCGTAGTCGCCGCTCCATTTTCGTTTAGATAAAAAGGGGGCTTAAAAAAAAATAATGGTACATATTTGTATATATTTTAATTTTATATTTATGTATTTATTATATTAAAAATATTATATTTCAATAATTTTATATTTATATATTTTTATTTATTTATATTTAATTTATATTTGACTGTGCATAATTATTTGCTAATTATTTGACACATATATGCTTCAGTTCACAACCCCTCTAAGAAACGCAGCCTCTGTGCAAAGATTTGCCAATCGTTGGCGCGCTCGAGCTCTCAGTGGCAGCGCAGCAGCAGCAGCAGCAACACGACCACCATCAACAACAACAACAACGGTTGACTGGCGCAAGCAGCAGAATTTGAAATTAGGTCAACAGGTTTAGTTGGTAGTGGGCCTGAAGAGCGCTCGGCGACTGCGGCCTATTCGCACGATAGTAACTAGAGTGTGTTGTTGTTGTTGTTGTTGTTGCTATATCTCGTGCTGTTGATGGTTGTATTTTTTTTTTTTATTTGCTTGCTTAGCTTACCTATGCGGCGACCTCGGACTGTCGCCACCATCCGGGCATCCAGCTCAACACTCAGCGCATCCAACGCCAACGTTGACGGCGACGTCAACGCCGACGCAATATGCGTTGCGTTTATTGCACCACAGTTGCAGTTGCAGTAGCAGCAACAGCAGCAGTTGCAGTTGCGGGTGTTTGTGTTTGCAGGCACAATTTCGAGCATTTTTGCACACTGACACACACACACACACGCACATAAAGCACGCTGTCTATGTGCGAATTGGGCACACGGCATGGTTAGAAGAAGGAAGCGGTGTGGGAAGCAGAGGAAGAGAAGGAAGAGATAGAAGAGAAGGCGACGGCGACGGCGGCGGCGACGACAGACGTGAGGCTAAGTTGCGCCCGTTTTCATTACATGCGATAGATCTTTTGCAAGCTCTGTGTGCGTGTGCGTTTGTGTGCGTGTGTGCATTTGGGGGAAATTGTGTGCGTCAGTTGGTGCAAAATGTTGTTGGGAATGTGCATATATATGCATGTGTGTGTCTGTGTGAATGTTGAGTGCTGAGTGCTGAAATGGAAAACCATATGCAGCCAATAAGAGCAAGCAAGATATATAAGCATACAACTGTGAGTATGTGTGTGTGTGTGTTTTTGTGTGTTCGCCTGTGGATATGTAAATGTGAATATGCTTTGTCCATGAGACGCGCAGCATGAATTGCCACACACTTCTTAGTTGGTTTCTATGTCACAATCAAACTCACACACACACATAGACACAGATGCGAAAAGGTATAAGAGACGGACAGAAACGAATAGTCGTAATGAGTGAGCCGTCGCAGCAGCAGCAGCACCTGCAAGCAGCGCAGCAGCAGATAATCCCAGTAGAAATTGAAACTGGCTGCGGCAAGTTTAGAAACTGGTATAGAAATAAACACATACATATACATATACATACAGCATATATAGAGGCAATCGACCTTGTAGGAGTATTTTGTCTTGGAGCGCGCGCACGCCCGTAACTGGGCCAACGCGATTGCACTGAAAATCAGGTGGGCGTGACGTAGGTAAATGTTGGCCAATGCACAGACTGTTAATGTGTCCATGTGTATGTGTGTGTGTGTGGGAACATTTTGGAAAGCCAGAAGCAGCACCAGGGGCTGTCATATACCCTTGGCTGCCACATAATCCACAATAAAGAACATACACCCACAGCCGCACAAACACACACACACACACACACACACACACTGAATCAGAATTCCTTTGTAAATAGCCATACATACTCATCAAATATATAAAGCATCTAAAATAGACACATGGATTTTCATAAGAGCAACAACAACAACAATAGACAATAACGGGCCTTGTATTTGTTCTTGTTGCTAAATTTTACCTTCAGCGCAGCTGGAATATTTCGCAACAGTCTCCGAAAGGCGTTTGTATTTGGCAATTTTCGGATTTTGAAATACCACAAGGTGCATTCTAACAAGAAAATACACACGCACACACACACACACACACACACATACAGAGACAGCTGCGCGCTCTCAGCGCTCATACACTCACACTCACGCACACATGTACACAGAGTCACTGCAATTCTTGGTTCGTTTCTCAATGGGAAGTTAGTGGTGGGCAGTTTCTTAGGGGGCTGGACTGCGCAAGGTGCAGCAGCAGCACCACCAGCACCAGCAATAACAACAACAATCGAACTAACCTCCACTCTTGGCTGTGCCGAAATCAAAAACGCGGCGACTGCTTTACTCTTGTAGTGTTGTGCAGCTGTTTGTTTTTTGTTTCTGGAGCGAACGCGCAAATCAGAAAAAATTCAACACACTGTTGTTGTTATTCGGAAACGTAACGAAACGAAAGGGCAAGCGCAGCGAGCAAAAAGTTAAGGCTTAAATAATAAACAACAATAATAATAATAAAATAACGGACGCACACGCGTTGCCCACATCTGTATGGGCCAAAAGACGAAACAGCACTGCCGACGCCGCGACGGCCGCTCTATTGTTGAGTCTGCTTCAGCCTCTACCTCTGCCTCTACTGCTGCTGCTGTTGGTGCTTGTGCCTCTCAGTGTGTTGCAGTTTTCGAGTCAGTCCCGCTTCAACTGCGCGCGCTCAGTAAACAAGTCGAAGCGATTTCGACGTTTCCTCAAGGCCTACAGATTTAGGCCAAAAAAAAAAAAAAAAAAAAACAACAAAATTATAATGTACAACACCAATAGTGGCAGCTTGTTGGTTGATTATTGCTGTTGTTGTTGGGCCAGATCATAGTGAGCTCAGCTCTCGGTTTGGGTTAGCAACGAGTTTCCATCAGCAATTGGCCGTCTTACACAAAATGCAATCGTTCTAATTGCGCAACTATGCACGGCCAATTGCGATGCAATGATGCATAAATATGAGGTTTAAGCTTGCCGCCACAGTACTTATCGGTACACTATTTATCGTTATCGAGTAAAGTAATTTGAACAAGTAATAGCTCTTCGAACATAATTAAAATTTCTTAAACTGAATAGTAAATAGTAACAAATAATAAATATGCATATAAGTTTAAATAACAATCTTCTTTATTTTTCTTTACTTAATATTGTACACGAATCTTCGTTGCCGCTTCTAATCGAGTCGCGTTTGGCTTATTAAACTAGCTTAGAAAATCACAAAAAGTATTTCTAATTACTTTATAAAATATAAAATGCAAAAATTAAATTTTTGCAGCATTTATTTCATTCATCTTTCATTACCAAAATGAAATATTTTTTAAATGTTTTCAATACATATTTATCGCAACCGTCTCTTCCAAGACTGTATTCGATATTTACTACCCGTTGCACAGCACTGTTTTAATATAAGTGCGTTCTCGCATTTGCAGGTACTGAGGTTTGCTCTACATTGAAAATTTGTTTACACGTGAAAAAGTCGCGATTAATATACAAAAATAGTGTAAAACTGTAGTTATAGTTTGGTTGCACGTATGTGCTGTGTTTTCTCATTGATAACTGGCTGGATTATGCCATAAAAGTTAAATTGAAAATTTACAATTAGCCCGCTGTCTGGAGCCGCAGTCAATATAATTACACTGCCCATTGGTTTACATAAGAGTGAAAGGGTCAGCTAGTGTACTATTTGCAGAAATGGCGTCGAAGTAGTGCACATGGCCAAGTCGTCGGAGACAATGGCTGGTGTGCAGATGCCAATATTGAACACCTACGCCCCCAATATTAAATCTTCTTCCTGATATTAACAATGTGAATTAATTGTGACTTTTGTGCTGAAGTATTTATAAGAGTGTGTGATCAATGTACTTAAATGTACACCATTTTGTCCGGTTTTCTATTCCGCTTTGTGCACATCATTTGGTTTCAATGCCCTCGCTTCCAGTATTGCAAAATGCCCACGCGTTTTCAGTGTTGTACATGCTGAACAGAATATTACTGTCATTTGTTAATTGATGCATTTTTGCTTACAATGAATAAAAAATTTGTGCGAGTGATATATGTTAACATAATTTTAACGTAGATAAATTGCACGACTACTTTTTAGTACTCGAACTGTCTGCCGCAATACGGCCGTTACAGCTGGCAACACTGTGTTTTGAACTCCAGTGACGGCTGTGCGAACGAGACGCCGCTATTGCGGCTTAACGAAAACCGAACACAAAGCATACCAGGAAAACCGAAGCGAACAGGCCCAAGAGTTTATAAATCAATTTTTTGTGTATGCAAGAGCTGTGCAATTCATACCGCAAATAAGGTATTATTTTTTTCCGCTTAATGCAAGTGCACAATATTATTGAATATAAAATACGTAGAGCAGTGTATAAAGTGGATTTAATTTAAACTGTTTGGGCTTGTTTGGTTTGTTGTTTTATATGAACATATTTAAAACTATATAAAAAAAAAAAAGAAGCGACTTGAGAGCTGTGTTGTCGTCGGCAGAGGCTACGGCAGCGGCAGCGGCGGTAGCTGGTGGCTTGGCAAATCGCGTATGACAAAGCCTTCTGATATGCGCAATGTGACGAAAAATGGTTAATCATGAAGCAAATTTGTTAAACCCCAATATATTAATCATAAATATAACAAAGAGAGAGAAAAAAGAGAAAATGTATATTCTATTTTGGTTCGAACTGGAATATATACTTTTATGTGTGATAGCACAACAACCCCTCTTTGCGTCGTCTCCCCTCGTAATGCCTCGTGCCTAAGTTTGTCAGACGTCGATCACGTTGCTCTGCCCGCACCACAACCTTCCCTAAATATATTACCTGTTTTGCGAATACACACGCCCGCCTCGATGGCGTTGCTATTATTGCTTTTGTTCGTTATTGCTTTAGCCTTCCGTTCGTTCCGTGATGTGCATTTCGGTTTTGTTTTTCTGAAATTCTCAACGCTTTAAATGCTGCGTTCCACTTCGTGCGTGCGTGCTCCATCTTTGCGCGTCTGCTTCTAGATGTGTGTGTGTGTTTGTATGCGTAGGTATGGGTGTGTGTGTGCGTGTTTGTTCACGTTCTTTCATTATTCCATTCTCTTTGATTAAATGTACATTGAACTCAGCTGGGCTGGCTAGTTAGCTGTTGTTGTTGTTGTTGCTGCTGTTGACCTGATGCTTCTTCGTCTGCTTTGCTTCTTGCCCATCTCTAACTTGGCTCTTAGAAGCGTATGACACTTGTTAGTCACTTTTTTTTTTTTTTTTGCTGATGCTGATGCTGCTTTCTCGCTGTTTGTCAACACTGAAACGTCACGTATTAATATGTGGCGAATTTTTTACTTGTTTTACAGTTTGTTTATTTCATTTTATTTATTTTTTTGTTGTCTCTTGATGACTGCAGCTTTCGTTCACTTCAGTAGAATATATTCCAGTCAAACATGTCCTTAAGTAGGCATCGCTTTTGTTAGCAATTCGGCCTAGGCTCTAGTTTCGTTCGAGTTGTCGGCTTTAAGAGAAATCTCGTGTGATATTTATCCAAATCAAAGTCTAATTTTACGATTTCCTGGCATTATTTTTGCACTTATTGCAGCTAATTTGTATATACAGTGTACATAGAGATGAGCACACAACAAACTCGTTCAGGGGGCGGCGGCGGCGGCGGCCGCACTCAAAAAAAATCAAATTCCGCTCACATTGGCGGCAGCGGCGGCGGCGGTGGCGGTGGTAACAATGATTTGGGCACCATCACACATGCCGCAACTGTGCACAAGAAAACCGATGCGAACAAGACAGAGAAACCAGAGAAGGCCCAACCGAAGGCCACCACGGAACAGTTGCGCATTGCCCAGATAACTAATAGCACCACAGAGGATCCGCAGATCAATGAAAAGGTCACCCTATTGCTAACAATGACCCAACGTTCCGAGGAGGAAGTCTGCTGCGCCTTGAATGAGTGCGATTACGATATAGAGGCAGCTGCCAATTTCTTGATCGAGATTCTACCACAGGTGCGTGCTGAAATACAAATGACTATTTAAACATATTAACCTATATATTCAATTTACAGGGCGCCTTTGCCAAGTACGAGAAGAAACGCAAGAATAAGGCTGCAAATGCTGTAGCGGATGGCGCTGGCGGCGATGCCGATTGGGCAGATGGTAACGCAAATGCCGACAGGCGTGAAAAGTCACGCAATCGCAGCGCCAATCGCGGTGGACGCGGCGGCACCGACAGTCGCGGCTGTATGTTATTCTATAATCCTCCTATATCTTAATATATATTTATGTAATATTCTTTGAATAGGGCGCGGCAGAGAGGCCCGTGAGAACGACCGCAATATGCGCGAATCTCGTGGTGGTGATCGCGGTGAAGATCGCGCCAATGACAACTATCGTGGACAGCGCAACGGCGGACGTGGCGGTCCAGGCGGCCCCGGCTCCGGCGGTGGTGGTGGCCGAGATGGTGGTCGTGGCGGCGGTTTTATGTCACGTCCAGGACGCGGTGGTGGTCGCATGGGTGGCCGCAGTGGCGGCCCGCGCGGTGATCGTGGCTATGGCATACGAAATAATGCCAATAACGAGGATCATCACGAGGTTGAGCTGTGGGACAATACCATAGCCCAGAATGCAGAGAAACAGCAACAGCAGCAAGCGCACGACGATGCCTGGGGTGACTGGAACAATGAGGAGTACGAGGGTTCACTTAAGGACAGCAAAGTCTTTACTACGAGCAATCTCAACACTCAGACAGCGGCCAGTGTGGTTAGCGGTGCGGCGCCAACAGCTGGCACCGATCAGTTATCAGCGCCGCCAGGCCTCGAGCACCATCAGCAACAACAGCTGACGGGGCAAGGATCTCATCTGGGTGCACTGGTTGGCAGCAGTGAGGATAACAACAGCAGCAGTTCAGCGCCGTCGGCGGCAGCTGTGGTGGGCTCATCAGCGACAACGCCGATGATGCAGTATAGTGCGGCGGTTAGTAATCCGCCGCCACAGCTGCAGTCCGTTGGGAGCAGTACGCCTAGCAGCGTAGCTGGCTCCTCGCCGTACGTCAGCAATGCGGCCGCTGCTGCTGTTGATACATTCTCGAGTGCTGCCTCTGCTGCGGCCACACTGGTGCAGCAGGCACAGCAGCTGCAACAGCAGCAACAACAACAACAGCAGCAGCAGCAGACGCCACTGAAGCCATCGGCAACACTTTCAGCGGAACAATCTCAGTATTTCAACTCGCTGACGTCGCAGGGCGCCAGTCCAACAGCCGCGGCAGCCGCAGTTGCTGCTCAGCCTTCAATGGCAGCCGTTTATGGTAGCCAGAGCAATAGTTCAACGGGCCCGTATGCCAACACATATGCAAATGTGTTTGCCTCGGCGCCCGGCTCGAACATTGGCGGCACGCCCAACAGCAACAGCGGCGAGCAGTCGCAGCAGCCGCAAGTGAGGCGAGCGCGCGTTAAGCTTCCGCCCCCATCGAAGATACCAGCGAGCGCAGTGGAAATGCCAGGAGATAATGCGCTCAACAATATTGGCTACTTGGATGTGCAATTTGGTGCAATGGACTTTGGCACGGACGACAGCTTCGATGCGCTGCCCGAGAAGTTCAATGCGGGCGTCAGCATCGATGGGCAGCAGCAGCAGCAGCAGGATGACTACCAGACCAAGTCACAGCAGCAGCAGCAGGCGCTCTCAGCTGGACTACAGAACGCGCAGATTGTGAGTAGAATCGTAAACAAATTTAGAAATTTTAACTCTTTCTGCAATCTGATATATGTATGTAAACTTGTACGCGTTCAGTTGCAGGGCGATGCATTAAGTGCGGCTGGCTATGCGACACGTTCGACGGGACAGCAGCAGAGCGGCAATGCTTTGGATCAGTTGACCAAAAACGATCCGTACGGCCAGGCGGGCAGTGGCAACAACAACGGTGCAACATCGTATCAGAATGCGTATCAGAGCAGTGCGGCCAGCAAGGCGAACAGTGCCTATCAGACGTCAGCGGGCGTTGTACAGGGCTATAATAGCTCGAGCTATGCAAATGTTCAATCGAATAGCTATCAGCCATCGAGCTATGGCAGCTATCAGGCGAATGCAGTCAATTCCTATCAGCAGCAACAACAACAGCAGCAGCAGCAGGCGGCGAGCGGTGCGCAAAATGCGACAGGCAGCAGCGGTGCAGCAGTACAAAACATTCCGATCAGCGGCAGTGGCAACCAAAATAGCTCCAGGTAAAGCCCAAAGCACATTCATTTTAAATTTTTCATTTTGTGCTCAGTACCAAAATTTGTTGTGGTTGCGTTTCTTAAATTTGATCTCTAACTCAAATCAGTCCGTAAAATGCAATTGTCTAATATTTAATCTAATCTCATCATTTTGTTTTTTTTATTGTTCTTGTTATTTTTCGTTTTTTTCGTTCCTTGTTAACTTAATTCTTTTCTTTTAACCTCCACCAAAACGCCCGCCTTCAAAAAATTTCCACAATTCTTAACCCACACGAAACAAAATCAAACAATAAAACCAAAAAAATATAAAATAACAGCGCGAATGCGAGCTCCGCCTATCTTACATCGGGTTATTCAACACCACAAAGTGCTTACCAGTCCAGCCAGAGTGTCTATGGCAATACTGGTCTCTCCAACAGCAGCGGGTATGTATATCTATAGCAATGGGCTTTAACCAACCAACCAACCAAACATCTTATAACAACCAGTAGAACAATCATAATTCATTTGCCTGAAATTCTATTAGAAAACATCAAATCAACAACATCAAAGTTATCATTGCATGTTTAATTATTTTTGTTAAATTTGTTTGTTGGATATTTGAGAGACTTGTAATGCTTGGAAAACAATTTGAATAGGCTCATTCAGAAAATTTATTATAAAAGAGGCAACACGAGTTGAGCTAATAGAATATGTGGAATATGAAAATACTCAAAATCTTGCCTATTCTCTAATTAATTTATAACTATGTTTTAGTTTATGTTTAGATATTGGTTATAGAGATTTTCTGCTGAGAGTTTGGTGAATATTAGAGGCATATAAATAAACTAAGTTATCACTAACGTAAAGCACATAACTGTCAAAATTTGATTTAAATCATAAAAGTAAATCGAATTAAAAGAAAGAAAGTAAAGACCTATATGACTTTATATCTGAGGATAAGGATGAGTAATCGAATTCGAGTTATAGAACTGAACAGTTATGCTAACATTTATGCTCTACAGTCTTTAAAAATGTTAAGGAGAGCACGTAGAGAAACTTAACAGTTGGCAGTTAACAGGCATGTTAATATGATGATATTTAAAGCCAAGCATTACAAGGATTGGGAGAGATAGATAATATATATAAAAGATATCCAACAATTTAACACATTAATGCATACTCAACCCAATAGATATATATGTATGTATAAATAATATATATTAATTATATTATTTATAAATAATATATATTCATGTCGATTCCTTTCCGTTTACGTTCTGTTTTGTTCGATTTATCCTTGGTGTGCATTCAAGGTTTGCTGGCAGCGCAAGCAACTCGTCCTCGCAGTATGGTAACTTTAGTACAAGCGCCAAGCTTAAGGATGCCACGGCAGCCGGTGCTGCAGCGCACTACGACAGGTGAGAGAGATAGAGCTGAATGCATGCATAAGCTGAAACTAATCTTTGACTAACTGTAAAGCAGAGAACTTTAACTATGTAGATCATTGACTGTTTGCTTATTCTCTTTACATGATATTCAACCTGGCAGTGTTTCCACGAGCAGCGGCGTAAGCAGCAGCAGTGCCAGCACGGGCAACGGTGCAGCGGGCGTTGGGAGCGGTGCGACAGGTGCTAATCAGACAGTCGTTTCGAATAGTGAGTACACTTGAAGAGAGGATATAAATGTGAATGTGTTGGCCTAAACGGAAATTCTCCTTCTGTCTCTTCTGCTTCTTTTAGCCAACAACAATGTGAGCGGCAGCAGTTCGGCGAGCAGCGTTACGGCTGGCGTTAACAGCAATAGCAGCAATGTGGTAGCAGTTAGCAGCCAGGGCGGCAGCTCGATAGCGGGCGTAAGTGTAAGCGGCGGTGTTAGTGGCGTTAATGCCGGCGGCAGTGCGTCCAGCGTTGGCGTTGGCGTTGGCAACAATGCCGCTTCTGTTCAAGCCCAAGTTGCACAAACAACGGCGGGCACCGCAGCGGCGGTGCTGGCCACTCTGACCAACAAGAACAGCAGCAGCAGTAATAGCAGCGGCACCGGCGGCAACGGCAGCAGCGGTGTCACCGGCAGCGGCGGCGCCGTCGGCGTCGGTGTTGGCTCATCGGCCGGCAGCACTGTCGGCGCCGGCGGTGTCGGCAGCGGCAGCAGCTCAACTGGTGCTGGTGGTGCTGGTGGTGGTAGTGGTGGTGGCAGCAGCGGCGGCGGCGGTGGCAGCAGCGGCTTGGTGCCCACCAACATCCAAATGGTTAGTCAATATATTCAGACTGGATTGCCATACTATCAGCAACCAGTTTATTCCTACGAGGAATTACAAATGATGCAACAGAGAGTGCCACATGTGGTGAGTTCATGGAGAAAAGCAAAATGCAAAAAAAAAAACCAAAACAAAACAATATACAAATAATTAAAAAAAAAAAAAACAAAAAGAGAATCAACAACAATTCAATGCAATCAAAAATCAGCTTGAAAATCAAATTTGTATAAAAGAACAAACATTTCGAAATTCCATTTACTCTCATTATTAATACATATGTTGTGTATATATTTATATATAAACTAAATCATATCAGATAAGGCATATATTTCATGCAGAGCTCTTATTACATTTAACAATTTTCCGTGTGTCTGTCTCAAAATATTTGTGAATGTGTGTGTGTGTGTATGTGCGTATACATATCCATATATCCAATGCGTGTGTGTTTTGTCTTCCCTCTCTCAATATATATATGTAAATATCTTCTTTTTTTTTTAAATATATATTGAAGAGGACTTCACTCTATTGTTAATGTATACCAGGTAGAAAGAGAATAGAAAAAACAAACAAAAAATATTCCAAAAAATTCCGCTTCCAATCCAAATTCCTTGCATAAATAATTTATTTAATGAACAAATTTATTGCAAAGTAAAAAAAAAATAAAAAATCAATGTAAATGATAAATAGAAAAGAAGAAAATAATTGGCATTTAAAATTTCTTACGCTCATTAACATAAAAAGAAATATTTGAATTTCAGGCACGTCCTGAGATTCAACTGTTTCCACCGCATCCTCTCTCTCTCTCTCCACTCCACGCTCATTCAACAAATATCATCATTGTTCTCTAACCAATTGAGTTACGTTTTCATTTAAAATATATTGGCACATTTAACGTTTAATGTTCAAATTTAACTTTTAATTTTGTTTATATTCATTCGTTTCATTTTTTTTTTTTCATTTATTTTATTTTTTTTTTTTTTTTTTTGCGCAGTTCCGTGTTAGCTGCTTGTGTTTTGACAAACAATTTTTTGTTGTTTTTGCCCTGGCAACGCGCTCTGCCTAAACCATTATCGCAGCTTAACTCACATCATTATTCACATTTGCTGTCCAGTTGGGGACGAAGTGCAGCGCCTTAACACTAATTGTGATTATTTGCATTCTTATTTCGTTGACTTACAGCAAGGATATTACGATCTGAACTACACGCCCACCAGCCTGGGCGCCGGTCGCGACAATCTCGGCTCTGTGGCCTACTCAACAATGACTGATGGACGCTTCGCTCGCACCGACAATAACTCCAGTCCTGTTAGTAATGTGAGTATGAAAGAGGCAAGTGAAGCAGTGTAAATAATATTTCCATATTATCTATAATATTTCTATAATTCCCATAATTAATGTATTTCCCCCATTTGCCTTGCAGGTGTCTAGCACAATGTCGCAACAAGCTGGCTCCAGTGCGCCAATGCTGAATGTTCCTTATGCTTATTTCTACGGTGGCAATGTAATGCCCGGCGGTTTCCAATACGGCACACCAGCCATCTATCCAGTAAGCCTTTTCATTAAATCAAATATCTATATATGTATAAACTAAAATATATACTATTTAATATTTATATTTATAGCAACAAATACCGGCTGCCAATACAGCATCCGGTGGCCAGTTCCCAAAGCCTTCGTATAGCGCTGGCTACGGCTCGACCAGTTATGATGCCCTGTCGCAGACAACTCAGGATTATAGCAAGGGCGGCTATTCGTCCAGTGTGAATCAGCAGAGCAAAACACAAACGGTTTCCAATCAACCGCAGGCTGGCACAGGCTCCGATCTGACCTCGTCCATGTATGGCAAGGGTCATGTGGCGCTAAACAAGGTCAATGTGCGTATCAATCAAAACGAAACCAGATATATCCTTATATATTAATATACTTTAATTTCATTGCAGTCGTATGAGAAGCAAAGTTTCCACTCGGGCACACCGCCTCCATTCAACATGGCCAACACACAGACAGCGGGCGGCACTTCAGCTCAGCCTTATGGCATGTATCTGCCGATGCCAGCGGCTGGACATCACAACATGATCCATCCGCCAATCCATCAGGTAGAGTACAGTGCTGAACAGCAGTTTCTTATCAATCAAGACAATCCAAATAATATACAACATGTCGCGTACGAGAATGAGCAAATGTGGCATCAGAATAATGAGCATAATCATAATAATAATAATGATAATGATGATGATGATGATGATGATGGTGGTGGTGAACATAATCAACATAATGATCATGAATACATTATATCGGGACACGGTCAGCAAGATAATAACAACTATATTCAAGATGATATCAGTGGCATAACGTTCTTTGCCGAATGAAAATACAAGAAACAAAAAAAAAGAAATAGCAACATTTTACCAAAATTAACAATTAGACATACAGAGACATAGATTGATGTTGTTTCATAAATATCTATATATGTGTTATATATATATTTATTGTTTAACAACTACCGCATACATTAAAAAAAAAAAAAAAAAATCATATCATGCATGTCCATTCACACCTAACACTTCCACCTAATCAAAATTTGCAATAACTTTTACATCATTCAATGTTTCGTTTTAAGTTTTTAATCACACATACATATATATTTAATATGCGTAGAAATTGTTTCATTTTTTGTATTGCTGTTGCTGTTGTCGTTAAAGAAAAGAAACCATCTTATATTAACAAAACTAAAAAAATATATTTATTAATTGTTTCACTTTTCACATTGTGCACTAATTCTAATTTATTATAGCGTTAATTCCATTTGGTTTTAGTTTTATTTTTATTTGTTTAAGCTCTCAAGAAAAGGCTGCAGAATCATTTAACTAACTTTATGGAATCCAGTAGGTGAAATGATTCAAAATACATAAAGCGAACTAGTGGAAGAAAACGGGAAACCTTTTAACGTAGATAGAGCTAATGGTTAGGGCTTCACAAGATTCGATCTGCGAATATTATGGAACTTGAATATGATTCAGTTACTTAAACCTATAAATAATGTTTCAATTCTATATTATGTATATATAAATCATTTGTATATCTAATGGTTATGGTGCCAATTGCTATGCTTTCTGGAGAGCTCATTCTTCGAATTTTACAAAAACATTCATTAGAGTGATCTCTTTGAAACCTTAGAAGCGAAAAGTACAATCAATAGTTTATAGAAGACTGATATGAGTTATACTATATTATATATAGAAAGTATAAATGAGATGATTTGGAAATCATTGAGCAGAATTTTAATTTATATAAAATTTCACAATTTAGTAAGCAGATTTAAAAAAAATCTAAATCAGTGTCAATTTCCATTATGGTATTAAATTTAACGAACTCGCTCAGTTATAGAACTAGTTCATTTTTTTTAAGTTTTGTTACTAGTGCTTGAACTAGTTCCTACTAGAAAACATAAAAAACAAACTTATTCTGCTGCTTTAGCAAATCTTTTTCTTTTTTTAATTGTTATACGGTTATACTATCGAAAATTAATGAGCTACTGTTTCATAGCCCCTAAACCCGTAAATGTCTAAAAATCTCGTAACCCTAATTGAAAACGTAGCTAACAAAACATACACATTTCATGCATATTTTGTTTCGATCATATCGAGCTCACATTCTCACATTTCTTGCTTGTGGGGGGAGCCTCACACTTATGCCACACACTACCTGAGTTTTCTGAACTTTTTATAACTGGGATAAACGAATTTCAACTTCAATTTAATTTCAATTCGAAAAAAAAAAATAGAAATAAAATGAAAAATTTGTGAAATGCATGAAAACTGTTCGATTGTTTGACTTTGTTTTTCTTTATAATTTCTTTTGATTTTTTTATGGGACAACATTAGATGGACGGCAGGATTCATAGCTCATCCCGCCGGGTAAGTTTTCCTTTGTTGTTGTATCAAGTGAACTAAAACACAAATCTAAAATTTCGTTACTCTCTGTTCTTTTGGTAAATATTCGATTTGTTGCTAAACACAATGTATGTAAATATATATGAAATAAGTATAAAAACCACAACTAACATTCATGCACGCACACACACACACGCACATAATAACTGTAGTATTAACCATTTGTTTATCTAAAACTAACAACTGTAGCTAAACAATATACCAAAATATTAATTAGTTTGGCTTGCGAATTGATTTTATGACCAATTTGTTGCTGATAAGAGAAAAAGGAAAACAAGGGCTAAACGTATTAATTATTCATGCATATCAAACACACAGCCGAGTCTCATAAAAATGTATACAATCAAACAAACAAACACACAACCATACACACACATATATATATTTATATGAATAACTATATATGTACGCGCTCTCTCTATATATAATATATATACATATATATATATTATGCTGCTAACCCTATTTATCTCTCTCTCTGTATATAGATATTCACATTTAATTAACATATATATACTGTTTATGCCTTTTGCAGGACTCGAACAGCGCTGGCCAGCGTCAACAGTCGAGCAGCCAGTCCAAGTCGACCGGCAAACCGAGCTACCCCAATTCATATTGGACCGGGCAGAACTAGCTTACGGAGAAGACGATTTGGCGGCCATTGCAGCTGACGACGCTGCAATCAACAAATGCTTGCGGCCTGCGCACTAATATTATAACAACAACAACAAACACAACAACAACAACCGTAGCAGCAACCAACACAACAACAGCAACAACAACAGCAGCAACAGCGACAACAACAACACCCATTCACATTTATAATAATAATAATAATATCAGTCAAAGAGCGTTGCCTACAACAACGGCAACAAATCAGTTACTAATGCTTGTCAAGGAGAAACAACAACAACAACAACAGCATCAAAATGCAACGTTGAGCGAGGAACAACATTCGTCAGATAATGATGTTAAGGATTATCTAGTATATGCAAATGAGAAATCATATTTTACTTAATAAGAAATGTTTTTACTGCTCGCCCACGCCCCACACCCCGCGCCCCGTGCCCCCTCTCCAATTCTCCTGCTCCAATAGAACGTAACGAACAGTGCAAAGACTTATGCAACTTTATAAAGTATACAAAGCCGCACATACCATATAAATACACATACGCCACGCCACACACACATACACACACACAAACACATTCACATACGCGCATACACAACAACCAAATACAAAATACATACATACATACAGCCCCCGCCCACAACATTTACATTTAATAAAAACGAAAACAAAAAACTATACCAAGTACCATTTTTCACATTGCATACAAAAATAATTTACAAAGATAAAAGATAACAATTATTAAATATTAAAGGCGTAAAACGATTTAACAGATTTATAAGCGTAAGATGAAAGAAATACAAAAGCAAACCAACAAACAAACGTCAAAACGTAAAGTGAATGAAAGTAAACAAAAAAAACACACACACACACACAACAAACAAACAAAAATTAATTATTGTAATCGGTTTAAACTTATGTGTATTGTATAATTATAACCTTAATATTTAAATTAAATACAAGAAAAGAAGATAAAAATACGATTAAATCCAAACAAATGCAAAAAAAAAAAAAAAAAAAAAACGAAACAAAACTAACTATGATTTGTTTTATATCTATCAAATTTTTATTGTATCATTTATTATATATAGAGTCAAAGGTCACTCGATTTACTGATAGTAAAAAGAGTCTATTGCCAGCGCAGATTACTAATAGAATACGTGCTCTTAGAGAAATATTATGAGACTAGGATCTATGTGTCAATCATGGGAGCAATCCTAATCTATAATTCTAAGGTATACAAAATTCGATTGCTTTGCAATTGACATAAACTTAAGAATATTTAAAACTCGAATAGAATCCTATGAGAGATTCAATTAAAGTGCAGGTTAAATTCTTTGCTCTATACTTTTAGTTATGATTTTTATTAGTGGATTATAATTTCATATATAACTTCTACTTCAAAGGATTTGTTTATGGTTTTTAGTTATAGTATATGAAATCAATACATTATAGTTATATTAATCAGATGAATTAGATATGACGCAGCTCTTTTTATGACAAGTTATCATTGGGATATAATTTTATTTTATCCGCCATATACAAAACTGGTAAAGTCGTAGATTTTTGCACATTTCATAAATTTTGTTCTTTATTGCAAGAGTTTCGTACAGACTAATTGAATGTGGATAGATTATAGGGATAAATACAAATGATATATAAGCAATTATTAACAACTACTGGCTGTGGAGCAGCTTATTGAAATCCGCATAGGCCGATTCCAGGTCAAAAAGGAATTGTCGCACCTGAGCCTCGGTCAGCTCGTCGGATGCCTGCATCTCATTCAAGGTGCCCAGCCACTTGTCCACCTTTTGCTTGGCATCGAAATCCTCGGGTATGAGCGACAAGCGATTCATATTGTCATCTAAATCCTTAACATCCGGCTGCAGTGCGTCCATTGTATTGATCTGCAATCGCAGCTTGTCCATTATAGTGATAAAAAGCGAAACAATTTCCGCAATGCACTTGGAGGTGTTGCCCTTATCGTCGCGTATCGTAATGGGTCGATCCTCGCGAATGCGCTCCAGTGCAGCGGGACAGTCCAAGCGGAACTTCTTCACGAACGTGTCCACGGTGGGGAACTCTTCGCATTCCACCTGCTTGAACGCAATTTTGTACTGTACGAGGTGCTTGGAGCAAGCGGCTGTGTATTCCTGTGGAGTAATGCAGTCCCGAATGTACGCCTTTTCCAGCTGTTGGATTGTGTTTATAATCGCGTACAAATCGGCCATATTGTCGTACTTCTCACGTTCGCGTGCATTCCGAAAGAGTTTTACCTCCTCGTATAGCTCGGGACTCTGTTCCTGCATTTAATTTGATTATATACTGTTTTTTTGGTTTTCTTTATTTAATTGCAAAAATAAGACGGAGATGACGAAGAACGATAGCAATTTTATTGTTGCCAGCAGTGATGGCAGCGTGCTATCGAGTAATCTACAATCACTCATCGCAAAGTAAACGAACATCGACAGCGCTAAAACTAATCGCTATTTGAAATGGAAGTACGATTTGACGCTCTATTGCGTCCACCTGCAGTTTAAACTACATTTTGCAAACTAGTCTGTTTCGCCTTTTTATATTACTCACTTGTTTATGCCATAATCAATAACTTTTACTTTTTATCTATATCAGAATATACTCAGATAACGAACGAAGCAAAACAAGTTTTTTTTGCTACCAGCAGCGATGAAACTGTGCTATCGATTTATTTACAATAATCGCAACATTAGAAGGCGCCAAAGTAAAAGAAATTTGAAATGTCAACTAATTTACATCTAGCAGCTGTCTACGCACAAATCAATATTCTTGTAAATGACTTGTGTATTGAAGTAGCACTGCAAATAATATATATTGATATGATTGTTGACACGCCAATTTTGGGCCAAATACCTATTGAACTCTTATCGGAGCCGCTCTCTTCCGTGAAATGATTTCAATTGGTTGTAAAGATAAACAATCAGATAAGCCCCTTGTTCAATTATTGACTTAAGCAGGGAAATTATTTGAATTAACAATGCAAGTTATTTATTATCAGCATATCAGCTCCGCTCTTGTCGATAGAGTGTGCAGCTCGTACATTATACAAATCTCTTACATGAATTCTAGTTCGTTTTCAGCCATCAATCGAGAAATACGTGCTTGAATAAATTAGTTTCACATTCCTCAGTGTATTTCATTAATTATAAACAGATGGGCAGCGAAAATAATCAAGAAATTGTAAGTACATACAAAATATGAACGTGTTTTCGCAAAATATTAGTTTTATAATTATATATTTTACATTACATATTCGCTATGCCTATATGTATATATATATATATACTTATTTGTTATATATATATATTTGCAAACTAAATCAAGCAACATATTTTGATATTTGACAATTACGTTATATCAAAATATAGATATATACCTGTATGAAACATGCTTAAATCTCATATGCAAAATGCACAATATATATAAGTACATACAAATCTCAACTTAATACACATCAAAATAATTATAATTTAGAAGGGCACTGCTTGCTCGAGCAGCTTATAGCCCTGACCGGTATAACTATAGCTACGTGGCGGATATAATACGAACAGACCCAATTGCAGCAACGATAGCAGACAGCCGAGAAAGTTGGGGATCTGAAAAATAAAAAAATAAAAGCAAAAGGTAGATATTAAAATTCCAATTTAGGCTGGGAGTTGTGGCACCTGTATAAATGAGTCCGATATTAGAATGCCATAGATTAGCCACTGCAGGCTGACGAAGAACGAGGTGGCAATTAGGGGCAAGGGCAAACTTTCCGAGTTCTTCACTCGTATCACATGCACCAGCGACGTCAGCGGTGCAGCAAAAAAGCAAACGGTAACAATGCAACAAACAATGCCTGCAATTCAATTTCAAACGGGATAGTTAATAATGCAAATAATAATAATATACCAACATTCAATATTGTTCAGTTTAGTATTCTTTAATTAATTTTATTTTTCACATTTATATATATTTTTTTGTTTGGATTTAATGAATTAAATTTTGTTCCCTATTTTTGGATATTTTTGGTTTTTATTTTTCCAAAAAAAGCATTTTATCTAATTTTTAAAATAACTTTATGCACTTTTTGAAAAACTTTTTAAATATATAAATATATATTTCAAAATTAATTAATTGAAAAGAACCATTATTATTGTATTGCAATCAATTTAATCAATTTTCGTATGCAGTTTACGATGATATGTCTATAATTTTGCACTCACCTGTTAAGTGTATCATCTTTTGTGGATCATCCTGTAAACTATTTGTATAGACAATAACGGCAATGAGTATGGCCAAGACAATTCCGAATTGCTTAACGTAGGCGCGTTTGTTGACAGTGAAAACGTAGTAGACGAGTGTGTAGATGAGAAAGAGCGTGGATCCAATCATGTTTACCATAACGATGCTCTGCTCGTTGGTTAGCACGCCGTAGCGCAGCCAAAAACTGCAGCTGTATAAACATGTAAAGTTGAGGGAAAATTGCTGTTCAAAATACCTTTTTATCTATCTACACATATATCTATTTCTTGCCGACGTCGACAATTCGTACTTACGATAAGAAGCCACATATGAATGGTACGCCCGACGATTCGCCCGTGCTCTTCTTTTGTATATATTTGCGGCAAATTACGCTGATAGTACAAAACACCGCAAGCATTAGTATTAACAGATTATTAAACAATTTGCATATATGTATGCATGTATGTATATACATATATTTCAATACTTACGTGCCCGAAAGAAACTGAAAAACAGTGCTAATCACCGCCGTAGTGGCTAATACTGAATCATAGGCCAGCGTCATAGTTACCAATTAATATCTAAGAATATAGCAAGTATTAAGTATTTAATTATAATTGAAAATAAATATATATTTACTGGCCAACACACGAACACCGCTCAACGTCAACAAAAAAAATAACAAAACAGCTGACACATAGAGCTGCCACGCTATCACATAAAATTCTATTCAACTTGTTATCGATACAATCGAGCTATCGACTAAAATGCGCGCATAAACTTTAAAAGCTTCGCATAGCTTTGCCGCCTCAGAAATTGTTGTTGACTGCTGCCAAAAGCTTTTTGTTTAAGCTTCGCCCAGCTGCTACATTCTACCAAAAAGTTTAAAACAATGTTAGTTGCAAACAGGTGGCGAACGACGCCGCTTGTTTTTATTTTTGTTTACGTCTGCGTGCTCTTCCAATTTGATGTTCAATAAATTTTGTTAAACAAATTACGCCAGTGTGTGTCGTATATAGACACCATATGTATGTTACCTACGCATTCGATTTTTGGTTATTTGTGTTTGTTGTTATACAACACTAACCTGCAAATGCAGACGCCGGCAGCAAAGAAAGTGGCGCAACACACAAACAATTACCGTTTATTGTTAAAAGGCACACATGTGCGCCGACCGGCGGCCTTGTATACAGTGAAGTTCAATTTTTAAAAAGTTCAAAATAATATATAAAAAAAATTAAGTGCATCTCCAATATGTCGGCCCATAATAACTTTGAGGCTGAACATTTGAACCCGCCGTTTAAGGTTGAAATAGCTCCACAGCAAACGGAAATTAATCAGGTGAGCAACAGTTGTAATAGACGTTGTTGCATTGTTGTGACTGCTCTGCGCTTTCCTTTCTAAACTTTTGTTTACAATCTGTAAATCGTTGAACTGCACAGCTTATTTTCACTGCACTACT